TCTTCTACAATGAAATATTGACTTTCAGGGACATTCTCGATTGGTAAAAGTGTTTCTTATAGTGAACCAACCAACCATATATTACAATAATGTGAATCCTCTGAATATTGGATCTAATTGCGCTTCACGCTTCAAATTTTTAATGATTCCATATATCAACCTTGGGTGATACAGGTTTATTTATTTATACAATCTTTGATCATCTCACTTATGTTCGCAACTATTATTTCATCAAAGGTTAAATACAAAACTTGAACATAAAATCTTTGTCTGCTCTAGTACTAAACTCCAGTATCCAAAAATTTTGGTGTTGTTTGTTTTCAATTTTTTGCCTCATTTTAATAGATTTTCCAACCGTTGCAAACGCAGCAGCCGATTTTTTTTTTTTTTCTTTCTATCTCACAATGGGACTCGTGTTGGAAAAAAAGGTTACAAAATTAATTCTTATATTCAAATAATGGAAAACAAACAGGGGCTTAAACTATTAAAAACACGGCCGATTTATTTTATTTATTTGTGTTCTTTCCAAGAAAAAAGGGCGTTTCCTAGTCCAATTTGAACTGCGCAATGGAATCTACCAATAGTTCAACAATGTTTTTCAGGTGACTGGGTCGAAGACTTCGAGTGTAAACGGGTGGACCAAAAAGTACTGCCAAAATATTAATGAATCCCACTCTGTTTGTTGGCTTTGATGACGTTATCGGTGTTGACGTCATACTCTTACACCACGCCCCTCTCCCTATCAAACTGAAATAGGGTAAAAGTGGGGTGGTCGAAATTGGAAAAATTTAGGAGATCTTCTCTTTATATTTCAGTTTTATGTTTTAAATTCGTTTTGAGTTTTGTATTTTGAGTTTTCATGTTGAGATTGTAGAAAATATGTTCTTTTTAACATTTTGAAAACTCCTAAAACATGGTTTGAAAATTTTGACTTGATTATAATTGAAAATACCCAAAAAAATAAATGTCGTTTTGGATTTTCTTTGTAAATTTTTAACTTATTTTCAAAAACCAGTTTTCTAAAATAGGAAAGAGAGCGCATTTTCACTGTTTTAGAAAATCGAAAACAAAAAACAGTTTGAAAATGTTAAAGAGAACAGACTCTTAGGTTTAAGGATTAAACCATATGTACAAAAAAAAATTTGACAGAAGCTTTACACCCACTCACATGTGTGGGTCCCACCGGAATAAAAAAAATGAAAAAAAAAAAAAACCCACCCACCCCCTACATTGTGAGTATCTAGTTTTCTTCTGTGAACATGCTTCTATACGTGAAGCATGGTTCTAGGTTTAAATTATAAAGCTCGACGGGTATAGTAAGTTTGTATTAAACATGCTTCTCTCGTGTTCATTTTTTCCTTATTCTCGTCGTTTATAATAAAAAAAATATTGAAATCTGTTATTTATGATTTACTAAGTAGTGTACAAATGAAAATAATAATAATCATAAAAAAAAAAAAAAATTCCTGTTTGGGGCAAACTAGTTCTCTGTTGGACAACAATTTTTTTTTTATTATTTATTTTTTTAAAAGAAAATAAGCTACAAAATAATGATTTTTTGGAGAATGTGTTATTAAAGAGTAGGAAAATGTTTGAATTTACGTGCAAAATATTTTATTAAAAAGTGAGTTGGTCAAAGATAAAAAGTAAGTGAAAATTAAAACGTGTGTAATAAGTTTGTGTTTCGAAAAAAGTAGCATTAGAGCCTTTAGTATTCGAGTTAATGAATCATATTGTCGAACGATACATAATTTCTTTCTTTTTCAGAATACAAGATTATTTTTTCTTTTAATGAAAAAAATTTCAATAGCGAAAGAAACCCATCATGTGTGGACCAGTGTGCTCTTTAATCTATGCTTTGCTTCGTAATGAATAAATCAAGAAATAATAATAGTAGTAGTAATAAAGCACTCTTTGGAACTTACTATAATCAATTTCCCAAAATAGTAGTGTCAAATAAAATTTAAAAAATCGTCAAAATTTAAAAACAAGGGCCGTGCTACATGTATCGAGGGGGATTACCGAATGGTGTCCCCCCTCTCACATCGACGGGGTGGGGCCTCAACTCGGCATTTTTTAATGCGTGCGAAGCCCTCATATCATGTGAGAGGGAGGATACAATTCGGTAGTCTCCCCTCAATACAAATATCATTTCTCTGAAAACAATAAGCTCCCAGTTGGGGGAATTAAAAACTTATTTTTAGCAGATTTTAATACGAGTTAATAAAATGTATGATTGAAAAGTTATGAAACTCATAAAATATATGGTTAAAATTAATTATTGACTTAGTTGGATTAAAATGTATGTTTTAATTTCTACCAAATGGGGATTAAATGTTTTTTTTTTGCCTACAAATTAAATAATTATTATTTTTATATATAAAAGTACATTATTTTACTATTTATGTCCTAACTTTCCAAGAAAACAAATTTTCAGGGATCTTTCACAGATTTATTATTTTTTATTAAAATGTATGGCGTAATACGCATCGCATTATAAAGTGGAAACATTTATTTTGTAATTATTCAGTTCTTGAAATATTGGACCAAAAACGGTGAATGCCTTATGCCGCAATCCTCCTGATAAGGATAGGAATTTTTGACCTTTTTTACATATATGGATCCCACTCTCACGTGAATATCTATCAATAAGGGTGACATTTTTCGCTGAGAATAAAGTTAACTTGACTTTAGTAACTTAACCGTGAACAGTGAACACCGACTAAAGTTAAATTAAATTTTTGGGTTTAATAAAATGAGTTTAAATAGATCTTAAGAATGACTTTGAATATTAAGCATGCGATTTCAATAGTCAATTGCTTTAATACAAAATGAAAGAAAAGAAATATTAACTTAGAAGTTGTAGAAAGCACTTGTAACTTACGAAGAATTTTCCGTTTAGAAAGGGATGGTTGCTAGTAGAGGGACGACCGAGTGGAAAGAGATGAAAGGAGAGGAATTAAGAGTCTATATAATTGAAATCTCGATGCATCTCAATTAGAGAGAATTCGTAATAGGAAATGGATAGAAAATAAAACATGAAATGAGGGATTTAGGACTTGTTTGGCGGGATTTTTGAAATGTCAAAAACTAATTCTGATATTAAGAAATTGTACTGATCATATTTGGATAATTTTTTTGAAGTATTTTGTTTAGTTAAAAGAGCATTATATATAAACGAGTTTAATGTAACTTTAACCTTTAATTAATATATACTAGGTAAGATACCCACTCGAGCAATTAAAAAGTAAGAAATAAAATTAAAAAATTGTAATACATATACAATAATGGGAAAAAAAAAGTTGTAAAATAGAAAAGTATAAAGGGAGCATAACTTCACATTCCAACTAAAGAACAATACTTTTCTTCTAAAAAAATACCTTCTTTTAAAAAAATTAAAATAAATCTCTTAGAAAATGATACTATTTACAAGTTTCAATACCCTATGACAAGTAATTTATAATGAAAAATACACATTTCGAACAATTGGTTCAAAGATATAAACTTATTTTGAGACACTTACAATTGTTCATTGAAAAATGTACTAACATATTTAAATAGAATAAATTAGATAATCTCGTGTGATAATAGAAAAGAAAATAAAATTCAAATCGAGCCTAGTTAGTGGTGGCCATGGGCCGAGCTTAGCCTGCTCTAACCATCTACCCATAAGCTTGGCTCATTAGAGCTGTTCGAATACGAGCACAAGCAAAGCTCAAGCTCGACTCGGCCCATGAGCTTGTGAGCTCACGAGCCGAGCCGAGCCGAGCTCGACGAACCGAGCCTTACTCAGCTCATCGAACGAACCCCCAGCTCAATTCGGGGCTCGTCCGAAAACGATCCCGAGCCTTCCATGGGCTGACAAGCTACTCCGTCCTTTTGTCACTCCTACTTCTAGTGTTACTAAACAAGCATGAGAGGTCCAAGTGACATTCTTATCTAGAAATACTTATATGGGTATTTATATTGACAATATAATTATTATTTTTAATTGTTATTACACCTATTTTTGAATTCAAAGTCCCCAACATTTGTAGTTACCAACTTGTTTTTGACATCCTTATCGTCAACATAACATTAATAAGCACATCTAATCAATAGTGTCGGTTTTCGCATCTAAAAAATTTATTAGAACATAAAAGACTTGTTTATTCATCATATATCTTTTAATAAGCAAAAAATTAAAAAAATTAATACACCTCATCTCAAAGTATTCTAATAGAACGTTTAGTCCCTGTTTGGTGGCGATTAAAATCATATTTTTAATAGATTTTAATAAAAGTTGCTGAAATGTATGATTAAAAAGTTGTGGATCTCATAAAATGTGTGATTAAAACTAATTATTAACTTTAACTTTGATTAAAATCTGAATTTTAATTTTCACCAAATAGGACTTTATACAAAAATCATCATCTGAGACCAAATATGATAGTCAATATAAGATTTAAGATAAGAACGTCACAAAAAAAAAAAAAAAAAAG